AATTGCCATGAAAAAAAGAATCACAAAATCATGAATCCTAGTCATAAAATTATCTCAGATTTGTTGCATTCTTGCATCTTTGTATTCAGGTAATTTTAGGCGTTCTGTGATATCCACATGAAAGCTAGATTTCGAATTCATTCATTATCTCTCTGAACATGTACAGGCTTTCCTTTCTGTTTCATTAAAATTTGTATTTTCACAATTCATTACAGTGCTTCGGTAGAGTTTCCTGACTTTCCCATCAACCGTCAGGGTGATGAGAGGTCCATGAGGGTTCTTATTCTCTTTCACAAAGCTGTTGAACTGTCTATGGAACTTCGTGCTCTAATAAGGTCAGATGTATTTATGACATCTTCCACAATATTTTACATTTTTTGTTTTACTGCACAACACTTCTTCATGAATAATACTGTGGAAATTGCGAAATTCATGGTTGGCGTTTATAGTTACGAATCTTTCTATCTATTATTTGCTGAGGTCCATTGTAGCCAAACACGCAAGTTTGGTTCAGTAAACGCCCAATTTAGCAAGCGTTCCGCCGAACATATCTATACTCATCATGTGATGTTTCTTTTACTTACATCAATTCAACAAAATCATCGGTATCCTGCATACTTTCATCAATACCGCATATAAAAAATTGTAAGTTATTCTATATCATTTACATGGATACGTTCCGGGCTCTTTGTGTGTTAGCTGTGGCCGTGAAAGTACTTCTGGGTGAAGGAAGGTCAAGGCACTGGGCCAGGTAAACAGTGGCCTATATAAGACCAGAAGGGAAGGTCTCTCATCAGTATCTCCCTACACCTGCTACCATGAAGTTTGTAAGTAGTGGAGTTTTATGCTTATTATGAAGTGCTATTGTTAAATAAGTTCTATAATATTTTCAATAGTTAACTCAATAGTTAACACATTTTCACTAGAAATGGTTCAAAATTTTCTTTAGGTGATCCTCTTCGCCGTAGCCACTGTGGCCTTTGCTGCCCCTCAGTACGGGTACAGCGCTCCTCCTAAAAGTTCCAGTGAGGAGGTGGAGTTTGTGCCCATTCTGAAGGACGAACGTGTCCACGAGGAGGACGGCAGCTACAACCTGGACGTGGAGACTGGCAACGGCATCGTCTTGTCCCAGTCTGGCTCCCCCGACGGCCCTGATGGCTCTGTGGTCAAGGCAGGAGAATACTCGTGAGTATTGAAATTGCCATTGAGGGGTAATTTTAGGTAAAATTATTCAACATAGATTCGTACATTGGCGTTAGTGGGAAGTTAATGATGAATTTGATATGTAACAGTTAAAAATTTAAAATTTTCGTTATGAAAATTTTTATGCCTGGCAAGGAAATAAGATGATGCAAGGTGCGATAAAAGTTCTATTGATATTGTTTACGAAGAGTTGTGTGAGGAATTTACAAATTCATTGGCAGTTGCAGCCAAGTCGGAACTGATAAATGGTAACGTGTAAAAGTTTGCTCAATTATTTTGGATTGATCACAGAAGGGTCCTTCCTGCCGGATCGCGTGATGAACAGACTGACTCTATGGAACCTCGCTCCCTTCCTTAATATACGAAGTTATTTGTATATAATTGTTATTTGACGGATTGTAAATAACAAAAAGTTGAAATCAACTTCTACTCTGAGAGCAGAAGCTGTGTCTAATTCTTTGGTTTTATCTTGATTTTGTCGGCCAATATAAGACTTTAGCTTCATCACTAAATATTCTTTATATTGCCGTAGCAGTCATCAACAAAAGCTTATTAAAACAAAGTTTAACGTAATTTGGATAAATTAAGTGTAATCTTGAATCTAAGATATGTAGAATTAATTAAGTATCCACTTTGAATTTACGTATATGATTGAATGAAATAAATACAAAACTAACTCTCCTTCGAGGGTGAAATTCCAACTATTATTTAATAAGACAAAATTTTCATATTTCCAAATGAAGATGTAAATAGATTTTGAAAATATCTAAATTAAACTTTAAAAATCTGCATTGATATATGTACACTTATATTGCCGATCTCTTTGTCCACAGCTACACTGCTCCTGACGGCACTCTGGTCCATGTGAAGTTCGTCGCCGACGAGAACGGCTACCAGCCCCAGTCTGACCTGCTGCCAGTGGCTCCTGAGTTCCCCCACCCAATCCCCCAGTTCGTGCTGGACCAGATCGCCTTCGCTGCTGCAGAAGACGCTGCCCGCTCCTCAGAGGAAGATGTTGCAGCCTCCGTCCGCTCCCCGGCCCTCAGCTACGGCGCCCCTCAATAACTTGTGCATTGAGAACTGTGGTCCTATTTATTGGTTGTGTACGAATGATAGCAAATAAAGAAATGCTAAATCTTTTTATATTTAGTTTGTTTTCACTTGGATTACGATAATGACTATCGCCATATTTTCCACACTCATGGAGAAGTAAGGCACCCTACCAGTTACTCATGTCTGTTTCTCCAACTAATCCACCAGCCTTTTATGGGTTACCTGCCCAAGTGGTCTGGTGGTCTGCCCACCCTTTTCTTTCTTGCTTAATCTTTGTCACCTGGTCGAAGAATTCTATTAAACCTGTGAGGCAAGATAAGCCATCCCTGAACCCATATTGGTGGTGTGTGTCACGAAATACCTTCTCTCCAGATGCGCTACTAGGTTTTTTCTCGCGATCTCCTCCAACATCATGTATGGTATACAAGTTAAGGACACTGGCCTGTAGTTCAGTGTCTCTTACCGGTCGCCATATTTGTATATTGGGACTACATTAGCTGTCTTCCATATTACTGTAGGTCTCACGTCTCCAGTGACTTACTAATATCATGGAGAATTACAAGCAAAGTGCATCTGCATACTCTTTCAGTACCCATGGTGAGATTTCGTCCGCTCCAACCACCTTTCGTTCAGATCCAACAGTTGACTCTTAACCTCATCTCTGGTAATTTCAAATCCTCCCAAGGATGCCTTTTTTACTGCCACCTTTCCTAGTTCAGGGACCTCTCCTCTTTCTGTTGTAAAAACCTCCTGGAATCTCTTGTTGAGTTCTTAAGACACCTCTTTGTCATTCTCTAGGTAAATGTCCTCACCCGTTCTCAGTTTCAGACCCTGATCTTTCAGAGTTGTTTTCATTCTGATGTGACTGTGAAACAGCTTTGGTTCGGTCTAGGCTTAGTTGACATGAAAATGACATTTGCTCTGTCATTTTCATACTGTCTCTATGCTTCTCTTCTTCCACTGAGATCCTCATTCCTTGCTCTCTGGTATCTCTCTCTGCTCTCTGGTGTTCCGTTATTTCAGTAGTTCCTCCACGCCCTTTTGTTTAGTGCCTTTGCTTCCATTCATGTCCAATTAAACCACTGATTCCTCTTTTGCTTCTCATTTTATACTGCCTCCTGACAATTTCGGGTGACATAATGTACCATGTCTTGTACGGACGTAGTTCTGTGTCCCATGGAATTTCTCTTAGGAATTTTCTCATCTCTTAATAATTCCTCTCTCGGTACACCAGCCCTTTGCTTTCTAGTAATTTTTTGTGGGAGATTACTTCTAACTATTCAGGTAACCAAATATGAGTACACTGTGATCGCCCATTCCCAAAGAGGCTTCCAACTTAACTTCCCTAATATCCGACTCGTTCAGGGTGAATATCAGATCAAGTCTAGCTGGTTCATCTTCTTCTCTCATTCTGGTGGGTCCTTTGACGCGTTGGCTTACAAAGTTTTTGTTGCCACTTCCAGCAGCTTAGCTCTCTATGTATCTGGTCCTCCATGTGGGTCTCTGTTCTCCCAGTCTATCTTCATGTGGTTGAAGTCTCACATAATTAGCAGTCTGGATCCGTTCCTGCAAGCGATAGATGCTGCTCTCTCTATTATATTAATGGTAGTCATGTTGGTTCTATCCCATACCTGTCTGGGTCTTCTGTCATTTGGTGTGGGTTACATATTAATTCTTGGTTCATTTGGGTACTTAGGATATGAAGATTATTTTTTGTCCTCCTGTTGCTATTGTGCCTGTTAAGTAGTCATTTGAACCCTTCACAACCATGGATAACCATCTCCTCAAAACTCCAGTATTTTCTTATCAGTAGACTCGATGTTCATCGTGATTTTAGAATCAATGATGCTCAGTAAATTCTAATGTTCTCTAATGTGAATATAATACACATAACAAACTGGGGTAAATAGAGTTAAACTACGAAATCTTAAAAGATTGTCTAAATAATTGGGCTCTGTAATTGACAAAAGGGGAATTTGTGCAAAGTCAGCGAATGAAAATGATTGTTGTTATGTCAGCTCAGTTTATGAAGAATTAAATAGGAAGAGAGGCGTCAGGCCGACTGCTTGAAGGTTTAGCGTCTCTCTTGTCCGGATGAGGCGCTGGAGTGGCTTTAACATGAAAGATCAAGAGTTCAAGCAGTAGGAATAGACATTTGAGAATCTTTTACGGTGTTTTGTTGATATAGTAACGAATGAAAAAGATTTGGTATAATATGGAGAACTAAATTCAGTATCTCGGAGGACTGAAGAGCGTTTACTGAGTTGCGTCACAGAACGGATGAATGATGGCAGAGTAGTTAAGAGAGAGAGATCACTTAAGTAAATTATAAGGAGTTAGTGAAGGAAAATCAAGACATGGCGAGCGAGTGTGCGTGAGGAAGTGGGGAGTGAATATTAGGAGAGCATAGGAAGTGGAAGGGAAACTGGCTAGTTGCTGAGAGTAAAAGTTAAACATATTGTTTTAAATATACAACTCACATGAGGTATTTTACACTTTATTTTATGAAGCGGTGGGGTGTTGTTGTGGAAGTTTGGGGGAGTGTGGCGGTGTTAGTTTTGTGATTTATTTGTGTGAAATAATATGTGGGAAATATGTTGATCATATATAGCTTTTTTTTCGATTAGAAAACATTATTTATTTATGTTCAATTTGTTTTTCTATTTCTTCACGATTGATGGCTCCCAACCTCATGAATATAAACGGAATTGTTATGCTGATGATAATCTAAATGAAAAACAAAATAAATATTTATAAATTCAGTATATTTAATTCAGTTCCATCATTCGTACACAACCAATAAATATGACCACAGTTCTCAATGCACAAGTTATTGAGGGGCGCCGTAGCTAAGGGCCGGGGAGCGGATAGAGGCTGCAACATCTTCCTCTGAGGAACGGGCAGCGTCCTCTATAGCAGCCTTGGCGATCTGGTCCAGCACGAACTGGGGGATTGGGTGGGGGAACTCAGGAGCCACTGGCAGCAGGTCAGACTGGGGCTGGTAGCCGTTCTCGTCGGCGACGAACTTCACATGGACGGGAGTGCCGTCAGGAGCAGTGTAGCTAATGGGAAGATTTAATCGGCCATTTAAGTGCACATCTGTCTTCTACAGATTTTGAAAGCTTAATTAACTAGGGCTTTGCATAAATTATTTATCACTAATCTGGAGAACATGACATTTTGGTCCATTAAATAACAATTGATCATCTACTTTCCAATTCAACGTTACGAAGATTCAACATGACAATTGATCCAATCTATGCAAACTTAAATGTAATAAACATGTGTTGACACCTGACATAGCAATATGAAATAATTTACAATTAAGCCTCAGCCTTACATTGGCCTCAAAATTCAGGGCTAAACAAATGTTAGACACAGTATTAGCTCTCAAGATAAAATTATATTTAAAATTTGTGATCTTCATGCCACCTTAGAACAATAACACACTAAGAACTAATGTATCCAGTGAAGAAGAGCGAGATCCCAAACAATCAATCAAGTTATCATCACACTATCATGCAGGAAGGGTCATATCCGTGATCCATCCAGCACAGTAGACAAAATATTTAATGTTATAATTTACATGCTTTGACTATCCACCGTCTGTTAAAAATCTAATCGATTGTGAACTTATGATAACTGTTATCACACCTTGAACCAATCACATCCTAGCCAAAAAAAATCCCCTTTTCCTAATACTGATGGTTCAATATTACTGTAAAATTGCTATAAGATCATCGTCTAACTAACGCTACACTAGAAATATATTTTGATTAATTACAAAATCAAAATATATTCAGACTATAAGGACTACTTTCAAATCAGAATTCTTTCATAATATCAGTACTCACGAGTATTCTCCAGCCTTGACCACAGAGCCATCAGGGCCGTCGGGGGAGCCAGACTGGGACAAGACGATGCCGTTGCCAGTCTCTACGTCCAGGTTGTAGCTGCCGTCCTCCTCGTGGACACGTTCGTCCTTCAGGATGGGCACCACCTCCACCTCCTCGCTGGAACTTTTAGGAGGAGCGCTGTACCCGTACTGAGGGGCAGCATAGGCCACAGTGGCCACGGCGAAGAGGATCACCTAAAGAGAGATGATAATAAAATCTAGAGAAAATGTTGTAAAAGCGTCGACAAATCTTTATAATTTCTTTAACAATAGCACTTCATGATCAGCTTAAAGCTCCACTACTTACAAACTTCATGGTAGCAGCGGTAGGGAGATACTGATGAGAGAGCTTCCTTTCTGGTCTTATATAGGCCACTGTCTACCTGGCCCAGTGCCTTGACCTTCCTTCCCCGAAAAGCACTTTCATGGCCACAGCTCACACAGAGCCCGGAGCAGAGCTGGTTTTTACTGTAAAGAAAAATTGCAGGACATAGATTGAAGCCTTCCAGTGCCGCGGTAGTAACTGTACTGTTCCTTTCTTGGGAATAAACTGTTGTTAGTTCACTTTATTCCCGAAACAGGAACTTAAAAAACACACATATACTTAGGTAATGTAATTACTGGACATAATTTTTATTTTAACAATCACAGCTTAGCGTAATTTTATAATTAATAATAGGAAATAACATTCTTCAACATAATATGCGCTAGGGATATATATATATATATATATATATATATATATATATATATATATATATATATATATATATATATATATATATATATATATATATATATATATATATATATATATATATATATATATATGTCGTACCTAGTAGCCAGAACGCACTTCTCTGCCTACTATGCAAGGCCCGATTTGCCTAATAAGCCAAGTTTTCATGAATTAATTGTTTTTCGACTACCTAACCTACCTAACCTAACCTAACCTAACTTTTTCGGCTACCTAACCTAACCTAACATATAAAGATAGGTTAGGTTAGGTTAGGTAGGGTTGGTTAGGTTCGGTCATATATCTACATTAATTTTAAGTCAAATAAAAAAAAAATGACCTCATACATAATGAAATGGGTAGCTTTATCATTTCATAAGAAAAAAATTAGAGAAAATATATTAATTCAGGAAAACTTGGCTTATTAGGCAAATCGGGCCTTGCATAGTAGGCTGAGAAGTGCGTTCTGGCTACTAGGTACGACATATATATATATATATATATATATATATATATATATGTCGTACCTAGTAGCCAGAACTCACTTCTCAGCCTACTATGCAAGGCCCGATTTGCCTAATAAGCCAAGTTTTCATGAATTAATTGTTTTTCGACTACCTAACCTACCTAACCTAACCTAACCTAACTTTTTCGGCTACCTAATCAAACCTAACCTATAAAGATAGGTTAGGTTAGGTTAGGTAGGGTTGGTTAGGTTCGGTCATATATCTACGTTAATTTTAACTCCAAAAAAAAAATTGACCTCATACATAATGAAATGGGTAGCTTTATCATTTCATAAGAAAAAAATTAGAAAAAATATAATAATTCAGGAAAACTTGGCTTATTAGGCAAATCGGGCCTTGAATAGTAGGCCAAAAAGTGAGTTCTGGCTACTAGGTACGACATATATATATATATATATATATATATATATATATATATATATATATATATATATATATATATATATATATATATAACTGAAAACTCCACACCCCAGAAGTGACTCGAACCCAGACAGCCAGGGACACTATGCAACTGGCGTATCTGGTTCCTTAACCACTTGACCAACCGTGACCGGACAAAAAATGATGGTAGCCGAGGCTATTTCCCCATCGTAACGACGGCATTTGGTGGTGAGCTTGGGCATAGTTATTTCATCAAATCACCTCATTTTGTGGGGCCACGTGAGCAACACAAATGCGAACAAGCTTGAATGGTCCCCAAGCATATATGGAACTGGAAACTAAGTTTTCAGTTGCAATTTGTTTCTGTGTATCTGTCCTTCTCTTCCTTATTTCTTTGGTCTTCCTGAAACCCATAAACCTTGTGTTCCTCTTTGTCTCATCATTTCTTCAAGGGGCGCTGTAAGCTATCCTCTTGCCTCCTGGGTAGCTAAAATTATGACTCTTTATCTTGGTACTTTTTCTCCTGTCCACCTTCGTCGCTCTCAGGACTTCATAGAAAGACTGCACCTGCAGCCCTCCTGTGAGATGCCTGCTGAGTCTTGATGTCGACTCTATGTTTACTTATGTTCCCCTCGATGACGTTCTCTCTTTCCTTAGTCAGAAGGCGACTGAGGGCCTTCTTCCTCTCCCGCTTCCCACTGACGTTTTTCTCGAATCATCAGACTCTGTGTTGACTCTAACTCCTTCTTTTTCAACGGAAAATACTTATCTTAAACTTTCGGGTCGCTATTGGTTTCTCTCTCTACCCTGTTCTTGCCAATTTCTATATGGACTACTTCGAAACCGTTCTTTTTCTTCCCACTATTGATACTCGTCCCTCTCTCTGGCTTCGCTATGTTGATGGCATTTTTGCTTTATGATCTCTTGACCTTAGTCTTTTCCAGCCTTTCCTTTCCTCTATTAACAAGCTGGCTCCTTCTTTCTATTTCAAAGTTGAATGGGAATCAAATTCCCTTCTTCCTTTTCTTAACGTATATGTCCAGAGCTTTGTGCCCAGGTTCTCTTTCTCTGTCTACCGCAGACCCATGCATTGTAGTATGTACATTCACTTCTTTTCCTACCATTCTCCTTCTGTTCTTTCCTTCTCTCCCTCATTTTCCTTCTGTGAAGAAAGGGCTTTCTTCCCAATCACAGAATATTCTCAAATGTTCTAATCTTTCTAACAAACGTGACCTGACACGTTTGTTTTTCTTTTTTCTTTCTACTCTTATTCTTACGTTCCCATTCTTAAACCCCATTATTACCCCCATCTTACACCCCCATTATTACCCCCATCTTACACCCCATTATAACACTTATCCCATCCGTACCTTTCATCTTGTTCTTAGCTTTGTCTAGGAATTTCATCCTTCCTGCTCCTCACCTCTCACTTGCGTTACGTAATGCCCGTGCCTCCCTCGCTCCCACTATCAAGTTACTGCCCCGCTCCTGTGCAAGTAAGTCGACAACGGTCTCACTATATCCCGTGCTACTTGGAACTTTTGTTTCGAGCAGCTGAATATAAAACAACACCAACAACCTCGCTCCCCCTCTTCAAGTTACAGCCCCGCTCCTGTGCCAGGTAAGTCCACCACGGGCTCACCGTAACCCGTGCTACTTCTTCCAAGTAGCTGAATCTAAAACAACAACAACCTCTCTCCAATCACAATCGACTTCTTAGTGGTCCAGGACGGACCGAAACGTCGTCAACGTTTCGTCGTCTCCTCATCTTCTGGACCCGAATTCATAAAGCAGTTACGCAAGTACTTACGAACGTGAACATCTTTCCTCAAACTTTGACGGCTTTGGTTACATTTATTAAACAGTTTACAAGCATGAAAACTTCCCAATAAACTGTTTTTATTGTTATAAGCAGCCTCCTGGTGCTTGGAACTCATTAAATGTTTAATAATTGTAAACAAAGCCGCCAATGATTGAGAAAAGATGTTCAGGTTCGTAAGTGCTTGCGTAACTGTTTCGTGAATCTGGCCCCTGGTGTGTAGTTTAGTTCTCATATTTTCAAACCTCGTTATTGTGACTCATCGTCTGTACAAAAGATAATGTCTGCTTGTCGTGTCGTCGACTGTAGAGGCTGGAGTTAGCCTCACCCTTGGGGTTAGCCTCACCCAAATTTGAAGCGGGGAATGATCTGAAATACTGAACTAAGTTAAGGCCTAAGTTAAGTTAAGTTAAACTAGGTGTAAGTTAAATGCTGGGTTGGTCTAAGTCTGGGTGTGTCTCTGTTAATAACTTAAAGATATATGAGCTTGAAATCCTACCCTTACCCCACAATCGATTTTCATGAAATCCCAAGAAGTCTGAAATTAAATCGCTTTTGTGATATCCGTAGACCTTATCGAAAAACACTATTAAAACAATTCAATTATGTTAGTGATGAAAAATAGTGAGCTGGACAGCTAATTAGTGTTGAAAATAGCTCGGAAATTTTTCATAAATATTGAGAGAGGGGGAGGGAGAGGGAGAGGGAGAGAAGAGAGAGAGAGAGAGAGAGAGAGAGAGAGAGAGAGAGAGAGAGAGAGAGAGAGAGAGAGAGAGAGAGAGAGAGAGAGAGAGAGAGAGAGAGAGAGAGAGAGAGAGAGAGAGAGAGAGAGAGAGAGAGAGAGAGAGAGAGAGAGAGAGAGAGAGAGAGAGAAAAGTGAGTTTATGCAAGAGGGGGTGACTAGTGTTACCTGAGTCTGTCTGATTGTCTCTCACTCTTGGTCTCTCTTTCTTTCTGCCACACATTCATCTGCATGTATTCCTCAATATTTGACTAATTTAACAAGATATATATTTAATATTTGATGAATAGAGGCATCAGGTGAATGAGAGTCTGTCACTTTTATTAACATTGTCTGGGAACTGAGCTTGGGTTAATAACTTCACCTTAGTGCAAAGTCATTTTACATGCAATTTTAGGAGAAATCGCTGGTGGCCTCACTGCGTGTGCCATCGAAGGGCAGAAAATGACACAAGCTAACAACAACCCATAGGGCAGGTTGTTGTGGTGATGGTCACTTTCCCGCTCTCACATTCAATTGTAGAAGATCTATGTTGATTTTCATTTATGTGGCCAATCACAGGATCACCTAAAACTCTGTCTACTTAATGATGCTATCTGTTGAAGCATTCCTTATAGAATCTTTTGTATTTATGACTTGCTGTTTCACTATTGAATATTACAGTAGTTTTATGACTGCCATGGTCAGCTCCCACACTTAGTGTTAAATTCCGCAGTTAGATGGAACGTCATGTCTAGTACGCAAAGAAATCAACATCATTGTATTTATTTGAGACCATTAAGAATTAGACCTAAGTTTTTTCGTCTTTATTTGCTGTAATTCTTGCAATCTTCTATAAACAATATTTATTGTCAACGACTATCCTTGCTTATTATTATTGTATAAAAAATATATTGTCAAATAAATAACTAATGCAATATTAGATGTCTATTTAAAATTACCCCTCAAAAAAGTCTTTTTAGAGGCAATTTGTTATTAATTTATGTATGAAGGTCAAGGATAAAAAATGTGAATATCGATTTACTATTTGTGGCTGCAGGATCGAATTAATAGCTCTAGGACCCCGCCTCTTTAACTATCATTTGTCTAACGTATTGATTCTCAAAACTATTACATAGAGGGA